TGTCCGAGTAGAGTCGGCGGGCGGGGCTGCGAGGTGGAAGATAGGGAAGAGGGAAAGAGAGGCGGAGGGAGAGGAGAGTCCGACCTGGAGGGAGGGGAGACTGCGTGGTGAGGAAAGTGAAGGAGGGTAAATGAAGCCCGAGAGGAGCGTCTAGATGGAGACGGTGAGAGAGCGCCGAAGACACCCGTCAGGGAGTCAGAGAAACAGAGAGGAAAATGGAAAGACTTCAGGGAAAGGATGGACAGAATCCCGCAAGGAGAAAGCGGGGTGGGGCCCCAAGATTTCTGAAGAGACCAAGACTGAAAAACTGATGGAAGAGCCAGCGGGGAAAATTGGACGTGTGTCTATACCAAGGGGCCAAAAGACGGAGTCCTTAAGCACTCAGATACCAAGTGACCATGAGGATGGAGCAACACCGCAGATCTTTATTAAGAAAATGCAAATGGACCAGGGGTGTAGCTCAGTGTTTCCTCTGCCTGCCTCGCAAGGGCAAGGTCCCTAGTTGGATACCTGGTACCCCAAAATAATAATAGAAAAAAGAAAATCCAAATGATTTAAGAAGTAGAGGAGCAATAGTACAAGCATGGGAGTACACACAGATTCTTCAAATATCAGCCTTCCTAACCTGTAACACACACTCCATCCCTGTCCTCTTCTGATACCCCAGGCTTCTCAGAATGACCCAAAGATGTTGAGATAACACTGAGGGAGACAGCTCCAGGTCTGGACCTGTATTACACTTGCAAAGGAGACTAGCGTGTGAAAAGGGTGGAACAAGGCAGCAAAGCAAAGCAAGGGAAATGCGAAAAACGAGGACGAGAGGCCTTGAAAGGCAGGGAACCAGGGCCAGGTGTCTGAGGCAATGAGACAGGAGAGGCGGCCCGTCTGGGAGCCACGGGAGAGTGGGCAGAGGTCTGCCGAAGCACAGGAGAGGTGCTGCGAGGATGGAGGCGTGGACGGCTGGGAGGGAGGGTCTGGGTACCGAGGGAAGAGGGGCAGAGAAAGAGAAGCGCCAGGTGAGGAAGACAGGTGGAAGATGGGAGAGGTGGAGAAGAGCGAAGGGCACTGGAGGCCCCTGGCTCCCTCGAAGACAGGGAAGAGCCCGGAAGGGAGGAACCGGCAAGGACCCCAGACGATGACAGCTTCACCCGGAGGGAAGTCGGCGCTGCCTTGGCCGCGCTCCCGTTCCTCCCCGGGCCACCCCGAGAATGTGGCTGGAGGGCGAGAGGGGAAATCCAACGTGATGCGTGTGGAAGCAGCTCGGCCGGCCTCCGCCTCTCCTTTCAGCTTTTGGCTTCTCGTGTACCTGCCCTGCCTCTCCAT